TCCGCTAAGAGCTTCACCCTAAGAATTTCTCCGTTAATCATGTTCCAGTACATACTTGTTTGGTGACAGTTTTTATGTAAACATGATGGTAACTTTTTGCTTGGGTAAAATACTGAAACTTAACTACTTCACAATATAATTAGCCTTTTCAAGTAAACACAATGATGCAGATATATTCAAGGGTGAATCTTCTCCGACTAGAGAGAATGATGCAGATAAATATATTCTAAATCTAATATTTATCTAATTTATTATTTATCTACTAATTAACTTAATTAGTTAGAATTATCTTTAGTATTTTTTTATAATTTATAGATTATTTGGTTTTCTTATAAATAAACTTCTTATGCCTAGATAATATTCAATTTATAATTTGATTAATAAAATTAAAAAGATTTTTTTTATTCTTTGTTTTTGGTAGATTATTGATGATCTCAACGAATTTAAAAAGATATTGATTTTAGATATTCCTAAACTAAATAAGAACATTGTAGTTATCATAATTTTTCGGATATTCTCATAATCAACGGATCACTAATTTTATCCTATAAAATTTTCACTACATCACAAAACAAATATGGTAGTTATATTTCGATTGCGACCATATGGACAGCTTAAAATTTTCACTACATCACAAAACAAAGAAATTTGGACTGTACAACTATGTGTACAATACTAAGGAAAATGCATAGAAAAAATTGATGACAGCTTAAATTCATCTCTTTTTCTTGTGGCCTTTCTTTAATCTGAACTAGGTTAATTTTCTTCTAATAATTTGTTTCATCTTTTTCTTTCTTCCATTCATCCCTAACCAATTGTTTCCCTATTTATTTTCAAGTATAACTCTTCCATCAAACTATTTATTTCATGTTGTTAAATATGGTTCAAGTGAAGTAAAGAATATAGAATATTCCTCTCTTTGTAAACTAGGATAAGCTTAACCAAAAACAAGTCTTAATCCGAATTTCGTCCCATATCCATATCCTTTTTGTTGAAAGAAATAGAATTTAATGTGAGTGAAATTAACAAGACTTCTTGTATAAGATATTCAAAATCAGACAGAGAATATGCTGACACAATTAGGAAAGATATCTTTTGTATAAAAAGATAACAAAACTGTATAATGTACTAAGAGAATCTAATAAATGTATTTGTATAATAGTAATATACACATAGACAACATTAACATTGTCAAAAGAGAGAAAGATATCCGAAAGATAAAGTCAATAACGTTGGAAAAAGTGGACCCCACTCGTGATTTTTGTAAGATAAATAGAAAATAAATCTCTCCCTCTCACAAGTAAAACATTTCAACCACCGTCTATGAGATCTCCGTCGCTTCTCCGCCGTGTTTCCCACCGCCGTAATTGAATTCTTCCTCACCGCTTCTCATTTCGTTGTCGATCGGTGAATCTCTGATCGGTAATTCTCGTCGTACTTTTGAAAGGGTTTTAGATTTTGAAATTGTTGTCACGTTGATGATAAAGCTTCGAACTTTCGTTAGGGTTTCGTATCAATTTGTGTTATTAAACGTACCCATGATGTCAATTTTACGTTACGATTGACAATTTGTGAAATTTATGATTTCGAATTTTTAGGGTTTTTGGTATGGAGGTGAAGGAATCGAATGGTGTTTCAGTGAAGGAGGAGAAGGAGGTGGTACCGAAAGATATTGAGGAGAAGTCTATGAGGTGTACTAGTAATTTCGAGGATCATAGTTTTTATAATGTAGAGGATCAGAGTGAAGATCACTGTGGTGGTGAAGGTGATGAGATCAAGGAGGGGGAGGAAGATGTTGATGTTGTGGGATGCTTGGGTTTAAATGATAAGAATAGGGTTGATGTCACGGAGTGTGATGATGGGAATGGGACTGATGAGTACTCAAGCTCGTTTAGTGGAACGGTTTCTGAACATGAGAGTGATAAAACAGGTTTTAATGATCAGGAAGCTGATTCCATGATGTGTACTGATACTTCTCTACCATTCTTGATGAAGTAAGATTCTCCTCTTGCTTTTGGGAAGGAGTCTTTCATTTGAATGCATTCCTCTTTAGTAGATCATCATGGATATGGTAGCTTGATTACGTTTACTTGAACACTGTACCTTCCATTTGTGTGTTACTTTACTGCTATGTAGTTGCGTCTCTGATGTTATCTACCTTTTAAGGAACTCAAGATAAGGTTTGCTTGTGAATGATTAAAAATTTTATTCCATTTTTGTGACAGAAAGAAGAAGCTGACTGATCATTGGAGGAAGTTCATACAGCCTATAACGTGGCGATGCAAATGGGTTGAACTCAAAATCAAAGAACTTCAGAACCAAGCCCGGATGTATGACAAAGAAGTCAAAGAATCTCGCCAAGCCAAGCAACTGGAGTTAGAAAATCTCAAATCAGAAGAAGTTGGAGTCAAGGCCTTGCCTCCTCTTTCATGTCATACTCAGAAAACCCAACTCAAGAAGAGGCACAAGAGGAAGCGCGTTGAAGAAGCGGCGGATGTTCCAGCCAATGCATTAAACCATAATCTCTTCTCTTATCATGGTATGAAACAAGCTTTTGGTTACTTGTTTCTTCTGCCATTACTACTCTAATAACACTGCTTCTTATCTATTTATAGCATACCGGAAGTCTAATGCTGATACTGCTCTCAATGATAACTCCCGCAAGCTAGGTCTGGTGTTCTAAACTTTGATCTTAATCCTTTAGAAAAGCTTTGATCTTAATCATTTGGTCATGTCATCAGATAAAAAGAATAAGAGCTCTAAGGAGGATGCAGTGTTCTCTGAAGAGACACCTCCTCTCGAGTTTAGGGAAGGTGATGCATTCTTGGAACAGATACTTTTGAAGATTGAAGCAGCAAAGCTAGAAGTGCATAACTTGAAGAACCGAGTAGACAAAGTGATGAATGAGAATCCAAGTAGGTTCTCTGTGGATGACACAGTGATTATGCTTGGTTCTGCTGCTGCTGTAGCCACCGGCTCGGAGCAGCAAAATCCTGAACTGGTTATCAAAAACGAAGAAGAAGAACCAGCTAAGTCTGCTTCGGTTTCATCTCATCACGACAAAGTACCTGAAGAAGACGACGGGAACACAGATATCTTGCTGTCTGACATGATTGCTTCAAGGAGAAGAGAAGGGAAAGCTATTGTTCCAGACAAGAAAGTGGAGAAGACAGAACAAGCTTCTGTTGAGGAAGGTCCATCAAGACCTGTAAGTTTCTGAGTAGAACTTTAAAAAGAACTCACTATATCTTTAGTCTCATGTCCCTTCTTAAACTCAATGCAGGTGAGGAAAAGAACACCACGCAATCTTGACATGGTGGTAAAGGAAGGGACTAACCCAAAGAAACGTAGAGTTTCAAGAGAGAAGCCAAAGGCTAATGTTACTATGGCTTCTAGGCTTAAGCTTCCCAGCAGGAAGAGAAAGGGAGGGAAACGAAGGGCAGGAGGAGGAGGCTCTGCTGGGTTAAGAAGAAGATCTTAAAAAGCTTTGGGACGTTTACTGAAACAAGTCTGTGTGTTCACTTCAGGCATCCTTAATTTTAAAGTACAGATATATATGTAGAATTGCTGTGTGTTGATTCTTCTGTGTTAAAAAGCTCATCGCCAAATCTATTCAAACTCATGATGTTGTTTATGTATGTATGACTCTATATAACTAAATCAACTTTGGAGCTTTGTTTCTTCTACCTTAGATATTTTTTTTTGACTAAATTTTTTCTACCTTAGATATTTTCCGTGAGTGTATATACATTCTGCAAGCATCTAAATATTTTTATAACCTTTTCAAATATTGTAGGTGTTGACTCGATCCTAAAACAGCAATGTGGTGATCGTCTTGTTGATAGCTTGTTTGGTAAAATGTTTGTAGAGTGAACCCATTATTACCATTTACATAATCTAGGTCGGTGATACCCTTACACCAAATATTCTCTTCATCTTTAATCCTTTCTAGTAAATAAAAGGAAATTTATTAAAATAGTCTGGTATATCAAAATCGTTAATTGTTAGGGTGTTATTATTAAGAGTTCCCCAACTAAAATATTGACAAGATATATTTTAACTGCAAACCCATGGCAAAGTTTGATGTTAATGACTTAAGAGCATTATTAATGGTATAATATCTTCTTCACTGCAGTATCTAATCTAACCATTATAAAATCAATATAACACAATTTTGTTATTAAATAAATAAAAATTGACCAAGGACGGGAAGCCATATAAGATAACAACTTTTAAAGAATTATTGGATGAGAAATGTTTCCAACTCTCTCCCTCTTATAAAAAAATGTTGTGAAACTTATAAAAGTATTATCGATAATATGTACTTAAATTAAAGAATTACAAAATCTTTTCCTAAAAAATCCATAAAAGAGACTATAAGTTATACCATCTTTATCTAAGGGTGTTTAGGAGAAAGTTTAGAAAGAAACAAATAAAATAGTGGAGTGGATTCCACTAAAATGAAAATCCGGATGGCTCTGCAATTTGTATAAGAGCATCTCTATCCCTGAAGCTCTAGCAAAAGTTCTTAGGTTTTTTTTTCAATTTTTTATTATTTTTTTTTCAGAACTAAAAAAAGAAAAAAAAAAGAAAGAACCACTTGCGGGCTGACACTTGGCAGTCGGACCCGTGAACAGTATAAGAGTTGCCATTTAAATAGGGGATTTTATAACCAAACTTTTAACTATTCATCGATGTGATAGCATTGTTTATTAATTTTTTTTAAAAAAACTTATGAACCTCTCCAAGGTTCACCACTGGAGGTGGTCTAAGCGCCAATGTAAGAGCATCATTAACCCTTAGAGACAAATTTGGACTCTTAATGATTTTTTAAGAATTAATAATTGTTAAGAGTTTATATTTAAGAGACACCTAATTTTTTAGCTTCAATGGAAAGTTCTTATTTTAAGGTTCTTAAATTTTTTACTATCATCAAAGTCTCAAACAAACAAAATAGATGCACTAATTCAAACAATATTGATACAAGAGTTCAAATCTCTCTATGTGAATGATGGTCTTGTACTTCTTCACAAATGGAGAACGTGCTTCTTCTGAGATCAGTCTAACGACACTGCCATCAGTCTAATGATACAACCAAGCAAAAAAAAAATTACAGATACAAATTTGATGAGACAAACAAATATTCTGAGATCTTGAGACAAATGTCTGTAATGCTAATAGACAGTAGAAGTGAAGAACCTACTTGTTCAGAGAGATACAGATGCTGGCAGTTCTTGTAGGTTGATTGGTCAAGCTGCAGACCCCATCTGTGAAAAGCACAAACAACAAATTTATCAAAGGAAACCATCTGGTAAGAACACGATATTTTTCCTCATCATTGAAAACTTTGTTCACTCTTTATCAAACTTTGAAGAGACTTCAATCCTCCTCTTTTCTTCTTTTTCGCGGTTTTCTTATTCCTGTCATCTTTTCCAATGCCTCATCATCCTCATCACTATGACCATTGCAATGAAGCGAAGAACCAAGGCTCCTGGAGCTGATCCTTGATTTCAATTAAACAGCAGCTCCACCCGCAGCTACAATCTCAGCCGCAAGCAAAATAGTGTGAGAGCTCATCCCCAAGAACATCACAAGAATAAGCAAAGCAGTAATTTTTTTTTATCTAAGTACAAATTCAGAGTAAAGCAATTGTTAGCGTCTTGAAACTACAAGACCACGTCCATGCTCAGTTAACTGCAAAAGCTGGAGAGAAGGCATGGCTGGAATTGAATTCTCCAAAACCAAAATTAGGTGCTTCTTCTTGATAAATTAGAGCATCGAAACAAGAACAAGGTTATCAAAATTAGAGCATCGAAACTATAACAGAGAGTATAAAGCAAAGTAACCACAAGATAATAACTGAGTGTACTTCTCGTCCACACTCTGCTCTTCCTGCTTCGTCTTCTTCCCGCTGTTGCTCTCTTTCATCGACAGAGTCTGAGATTCATCCTTGATTTTAGGTTTTCGGCCTCTCTTTTTCGGTGCAAGTGTTATTGATCCTCCGCTTTCGACGAAATCGCCTTTCTCCGATGAGAGATACCGACGGAGACGTCACCGTTGAGCGACACCGGTGGAGAAAAAATTGCCTTTCGTCGATTGAGAGAGAGAGATGATCGAGATAGAGAGAGAGAGTTGATCGAGAGAAGATGGTGAGGTCGTTTGAGCGCTTGACACGTGCCACGAAGAGGCGCCTCTTCTGGCTCTCCCGCAAGAGGCGAGTTCTGGGCCGCTTTTTTCTTTTAATGTTTTTAATTGGGTTTAGGGGGTAAGAGTTGGGCTAAGAGTCACCGTTAATGGTGCTCTAAAGGGAATGATTGCACTGTGTCTGCGATTAATTCGTTTTTTTCTTAATTAGAAAAATAAATTTAAACACCCATTTTTGAATTGTTAGGATAATGGTGCTCTTAGACCATGTACATTGAGAGTACATGGCAAAAGTTCACACGGTTTTCGAAAAAAAAAAAAAAAAAAAATCTTTTGGCTATGATATTGTCTCTCTGGACCTCTCCCCGTAAATCTGCGAGAGGTAGAATTTATCACTGTTTTGCGGGTCCCACAGCACGTGATGACCCTCAGTTGATCAGTGTAATTTTTTTTTTTTTTTTAAAAAATCAAACGAAAAAAAAATAATAATAAAAAACTCAAGTTGTGAACCCAATCGAGGGTTCACTAATGCATTTGATCTTAGTCTTTAAAACAAAAAGTTGTTTGTACGCACTTTTCCTATAAGATGGTCTTAAGAACAAAAAGAGGTTCTAATGCATATAGGTGTTTGATGTGGAGGAACCAATGCATTGGCTTGGTGGGTTTAGGTCTTTACAAAGCCAAGAATCTCGAGATCTCATAAACAAGACCTTGGTTTCGGTATACGTTGTTTCTCTCTAAAGATTAACAATTACAACAACAAAAAAAAACTCAATGCTGATCCCTAGTAATCATGTTCTCATCGTCTATAGGAATTTTACACCGGATCAAACTTCAAATAATTCACTATGGACCATCAATTACGAAGATCAGTATTACATCTGACATTATATGAGAAACAGCGATAGTGAGGTCGTGCAAAGCTGGACAGAAGACACAAAAGACAAAAGACTTTTCGTTAAACAAAGATAAGAACAAAGAACGTCCAAGAACCAAACGACAACGAGACGATATTCTCAATAGACAGACATATCACATCAGAACATTTAAATTTCAATTATTTTCCGTTAATATAATTAAAAATGCACTCCCCAACCAATCAGACAGCGATGTCATTACGAATGTGACGGAGGAGCACAGGTATAACAGAGTCCGGCGAGCTAAGCTGAGGAAGATGACCATCCGAAGGAATAACCTCGACCACAGATTCACATCCAAGATTGGTGTGAAGATACTCAGAGACAGCCACTGGTACGGCTAAGTCCTTAACACTTTGGAGGATGTGACAGGGGACAGCTACAAAAGGTAAGATTTGTCGCATGTCACTTTGGAAAATGGTTTGAGCCACGGAGAGAGCTATGTCTGGACGCATGTTGAAGAGTGTTCTGCTGAATTCTTGAACCGCGACTGAGTCTAAGTCGCCGCCTACAGCTAGTGGTGCAAAACCTAAGCACCATGCTTTGTAGTTGCTTCGCATCGCTTCGAAGAGTTGGTTTAGGTCATCTTGCTCAAATCCACCTTGGTAATCAACATCGTTGACGTACCTATTAACATAATAGTTTTTTTTTTGGTAAAAATAATAGTTTAAAAATAAATCTTCTGCTTTATAAGTTTTGAGTTATATGATAATTCAGAATGTACAAAAAAACATGTAACTCGGATAGGAGAATGAACAGATATGTTCATACAATTTACAAAAGTTCAATGTTTATATCTTTTAACGTTATTTGAGAAATATGATAATTCAGACAAGAGAAGGAACACCTATGTTCATACAATTTACACTAAAAAAAAAGAAGCAAATTGAGGATAAATCTTTAGAGTAAATGCTTCATTTGAAAAATATGATAATTCAGACAAGAGAAGGGACATATATGTTCATACAATTCACAATAAAAAATCAAAATTTTAAATTTAATTTTGAGGGTAAAATATAATTAAATCCTTTATTTAGAAATATGATAGTTCAGACAAGAGAAGGAACATCTATGTTCATACAATTTACAAAAAAAAAAAAAATTATGTTCAGGGTAAATCTTTGAATTAAATACTCTATTTTTTTAAGAAATGTGATAATTCAGACAAGAGAAGGAACATCTATGTTCATACAATTTACAAAAATTTAAAATTTTATTTTCAGGATAAATCTTTGAATTAAATACTCTATTTTTTTAGAAATATGATAATTAAGACAAGAGAAGGAACATCTATGTACTTTTGTCGGAAAGAAAATGAGACATAGAAACAAAATAATCTGTGATAATCATACCTAGGGGAAGCAGAGATCATGACGATTTTGGAGAAGAGATCAGGACGGTTAAGAGAAGCCAAGAGACCAACCATGGCGGAAACAGAGTGACCAACAAAGATACAAGACTCAACTTGAAGATCTTCCAAGATTGCGATCAAATCAAAGGAGAAACCTTCGAGAGTTGAGTAACGATCAAAGTCGAAGTAGTCTGGGTTAGTCGTACCGGCTCCCATGTTGTCGTAGAGAACGATGCGGTAATCTTCGAGCAGATGTGGGACCAGGTGTTTCCATACTGACTGGTCCGTGCCGAACCCGTGACCTAATACGATCGTTGCTTGAGTTCCTGTGCCAATCACCTTCACGTTGTGAGCTTCCTCTACCACACCCATCTCTCTCTCTCTCTGGACACAGAACTTTTCTTGTTTCTTTCTATTTTAGCGTGCCTGCCTCTCTGTGGTGAGTGGTGGCTATCTTTATTTTTTTTTCCGTAAAAACAAGATTATACATGCTATTTTAACGGACAATAAAATTTCATGTAGAAATTTAGTTTCGGTAATTTAAAATGTTGTTTAAAACTAGTAAAAGTCTTATAAGTTTCAACCACATTTGTTGTATAGTGAAATCTTATTTTGGCATGTATTTAGGCTGCAATAAATGTAACGTATAGAAACCACATATTTTTATTTCCTGCTCTGATAACTTCACATATACTTACTAGCTACAAAGATCTTTGCTTTTGAGTTTTGACCAAAAAAGAAGATCTTTGTTTTATATGTTTGCTAAGTACCAAATCAATTTGTTAAAAAGAAGTACAAGCACCAACTAACTTAGAATTCATAAATATATTCATCACTTTGTTTTCAATTCGTGATAAATATCAGTCCCGTATAATCCAAAATGACGGTTTTAGATATGCGTGGACACGAATGTGAAAAGAAAAAGCAATGTTCCCGTGTAAATTTGTGCTATGTTGAATAATCGAAACAACATTACTTCATGTTATTTCAAAATAAAATAATGGTGTAAATTACAACAATTAAGGAAACCGATGGATGCACTGATGCAGTACGTATATCCTTATATAGTAAAATGACCGTTTAAAACGATCAAAATATTGGATTGTTTGTATAGTCCTATATAATAATTAGGTTAATTATCCAAATATTTAGCAAAAAATAATAATTAGGTTAATTAAGAACAGAAAAATGCATGGTACTTGTTAGGTGGCAGGTAATGGTGAGCATGCGACCACGTATCTGTTATCACACCCACTGCCTCATCAGTTAAGTGTCGATATCCGTGAGGGACCAGGCCCATTATTAACTAAAGGCCCATTTAATTTAATCAGCTCATCTCATCAAAGACGCAGCCGTTTTTAACTATTGACCGATCAAGTGTGAACTAATGATGACGTGGCGGGAAAGCTACACCCCACGTGTCCCCGGCGTGCCATTATCGTTTCACACACATTAGTGTTCTGTCCAAAAGGGAACGAGATGACGATTCTCGCCGGTCTGATACGACGGCGTTTCGGCGCATCGATTCCGGTTCAACTGAATTACGTTCGGGAACCGTCGCGTTTTCTGTTAAACCCGAGTCAAGGGAGAACTCGGTTTCTCAGCGGCGAGGCTGAGTCGAATCGGGCCGAGTTTCCGGTGGAGAACGCTTACGATATCTTGAGCGTCTCCGAGTCCAGCTCGATCGCGGAGATCAAGGCGTCGTTTCGAAGACTCGCTAAGGAGACTCATCCGGACTTGATCGGTGCGAAGAAGGATTCATCTACTTCGCTACGTTTTGTTCAGATTCTAGCTGCTTATGAGGTATACGTGGAAGCTTCGGTGAATGATAGTGAAGGGTTTAGTGAATGATATGAGTGTAAAGGTTTAAGCTTTAGAGATAGTTTTAGCTTTAGTGAAGGGTCTAATGAAAGATATGATTGTAAAGGTTCAGGCGCTTTTGTGATAGTTATAGCTTGAGGGAAGAGTCTAGTGAATGATATGTTTGTAAAGGTTCAGGCGCTTTTGTGATAGTTATAGCTTGAGGGAAGAGTCTAGTGAATGATATGTTTGTAAAGGTTCAGGCGCTTTTGTGATAGTTATAGCTATAGTGAAGTGTTTGATGAATGATATGTTTGTAAAGTTTCAAGTTATAGCCTTATAGGCTTATAGCTTTAGTGAAGTGTCTAGTGAATGACTCTGGCCATTGTGTATGACTCTGAGTCTCTGATTGTGTCAAACAAATATTTGGTTTCGGGTCTGGGAGATTACAAGCTTCGTCCCTAAGCCTTCTAGTATTTAAAAAAAAAAGTGTCTAGTGAGTGATATGTTTGTAAAGGTTCAGGCTTTTGTGATAACTATAGCTTGTGTGAAGGGTCTAATGAATGATATTTTTGTAAAGGTTCAGGCTTTTTTTATTGTTATAACTATGGAAAGTGTCTAATGAATGATATGATTGTAATGGTTTAGGGTTTTGTGAAGGGTCTGATGAATAAATATGATTCATGGTGATGATGCAGATTCTTTCAGATTGTGAAAGGAGAGCACACTACGATAGGTATCTCCTATCCAGGAGAATGGTAGTGACGAAGCAATCTAGACAACAAGGGTACATGATTTACAGGTATAAGGCGGGATTAACTTTGAGCGAAGAGATGGAAGTGGTTGAGTGGCTAAAGTGGTATAGAGAAGCGATACATGACATAGTAATGGAGAAGAGAGTTGCAAACGGTACAGGGTACTTAGATGAGCTGGAAGAAGATTTTTACTCAGCTGTCCGAGCAGCGTACTTTGGACCTGACGTGGAGTCTGTAGAGCTTCTTCCTGATTGTTTTGAAGCTGAGGAAAGGTCTGTGTACGACACGAGAGAGGTCTTGCACTTGGTGTCGGGACGAGATCTTTTCGGTATGGTCTGCTTGGTGGATAAGTTTCTTGAGCTCTCTTCTGCCTGCTCCAAGAAACTGGCTTTGTCTTCCTCGTTTATTGATTCAGACATTGGTCAAACTGTTGAGAAAGGAAACCAGGATGAAAAGATTGGCCTTCAGATGTCTCATATACAATCCTCCAGAAAGCAAAACCATGTTTCGGATGCGTATAAAGATATACAGCTTCATGTATCAGGAAGAGTTGTTGCTACAGCCATTAGAGTTCCTCCAAAAGGGTATTTCGAGAAGAAACAAAATGAAGGTGATCATGATCAGATACACGTTTTTTTCAGTTCAGATGAAGGGTCTGATCATGGCACTGAATCTTCTCCGGGAAATGAAACTGGAGCCAAGCTTCTTGTTGGAACAATAAGTGGTCTTGGGACAAGTCCAGATGAAGGCTCATGTGATGTCTATGATGGGAATGGTGTCAAGACTCATGTCATAATGAAACATAGGACATTTCTGGTTTGTGACTCATATTATCTTGCTCTTATTTACTTTTTAGGGGAATTGTTATGTGATGCATGTAGAGATTAGACTGCTGGTCACTGGAATCTTAGAATCTGTTATTCACACTCTACAGGTGAGGCATTTGCACTGGTACAAGATTGGGGAGAAGGTTTCTATCTGCGAGTGTAGATGCAGTAGAGCAAAACTACCACCAAGCAAGTAAGTCAAATAGCTTATTTGCTTTGCTTCTGTTCTGGTTCACAATGATTGTGAAACTATGGAAACAGGTTTTGGTTGTTTGAGCCTCGTTGTGGTTTGCATGATGTTGGAGGTTGGTATATTGAAACTTATGGTAAAGATAAAAAGAACAGGACTGTCCTCGCACAAAGATTCTGGGATGGACTTGAAGTAGACGATACACTAGATGGGTAAGGTCATTCATGACTTCAAAGCAAGATAGTGAATAGGTGTAAGTGTGCGTATGGTAAAGTACTCTTGACTTATTCATGAGTTTTTGCTTTCTCCAGGAGACTGCACCCTGGTATCTACTTGCTTACACTAGCCTATAGAACTCTTGATCTTGAAGATGAAAGGAGAAGGAAACGTTCAATAGTGGAAATCATCGTTACAAGGTTATCTAGAACGTTGGATTGGTGTAAGACAATAGTTAAGAGAAGGTCCGAGTGAAGATCAAAATATGATTTGATTCTTCACATGGATACAAAAGCCCCATGGCGCACTAAAGCTTCTCCAAATGGTTGGTTGGGGACTACATGGCACTCTCGTAGAATCCTACGCCTACCTTAACCAGAAGATAACATGTGTTGGGGTTGTCTCTCCTGCCATAAGACCAACCGAGCCGTCTCTTCAGTTTTACACCAATGTTGCAGTGTTTTCTTAATCATGGCCAGAATGGGTGCGACTGGCTGGGACAACAGGCAACAGCAGAGAAATATATAGCTTTTAAAATGGGGGAATGATTTGTACTAAGAAGAACTTGGATTTGATGGAGAGTTATGTTTTCAAAGTGACTCATGAGTCTTGTACAAAACTTTAAATCTAATGAAGCTGGTAGATTCTTAAGTTTTGGTACTTTCTACAGAAATCAAATACAGGGGAAGTCAGAAGAGAGACTTTCATACAGCTTTAGGTTGAGGTCATTTCCAAGGAAACACTAAATTTGGTATAATTATAACGCCAGAGAGAAAAAAACGAAGCTCTCCCACCAAAGTTGGTACTAATGTTAACATAAATACTGTAAAACATTATTCATTAAAAATGTCATTTATTATGTTTTATTTAATAATATATTAAAATAGTTTTAATAATTAGTTCAAATTGTGAATTAAAAATAAATATATCCCATTATTTTGTACTTATAATTTTACTTTAAACATTTCTACAATTAATATTTTATTTAACTTTAATAATACCATTAAATGAACATTATCATTTACACCATATTTTATCCTACATGCTTTTACATTTTATTTTTAATTATATGAATATTAATTGTAACTAATATTTTCAAAGAAACATAAAACTACAAACTATAACAAACAAATATATAACTAAAATGAGTAAATTAATTATTTATTTATTACAAATAATTAAAATAATTAAAATTTCAATAATATACTATAATCTTTTTAGTACTAAATTTAGTGATATGGTTGTAGATGAAAACATAAATTTTAATTTAATCTATCTTATTAAAACTGAACTACAAAAATGAACTAACCCTAATAATTTAATTATGGTTAATGCCACTAAAAATAACTAATTCTAACTTTCAGCATTAATTATCATTTCGTTAAATACAGTCATTTTATATATCTTCACAAAAAATAATTTTCTGAAAAATATACAACCATTTATATAATCTTGATTGTTTCAACTGAAAATATATCTTAACAAAAAATTTGCTTAAGTAAATAATTAATTGATTTTACCAGTAATTAATTGTATATTATAAATCAATACAAATAATAAGATACAAATTTACCATTTCATAAATATTAAAATATAACAATTTTTCCTGGCTAAAAATAAGTAGTCCATTTATATTTTATATAATTACTATTTACAAAAAAATATTAATTTACATGAACAATATAAAATTGGCATAAAATAAATAAACTTTCAAATAATTAATTACTTTTAAATTTATATGCATTAAAAGTATATTCAATACAAAATAACATTCAAAGTTGTATAAAATAATATCTAATAAGAAAACAAAAAAAAAATTCAATAAAAATAATATTTCAGTGTTAATTTTTTATAATAAATATATTCTTTAAAAAAGTTAAAACAATCAAAATATAGCTTCAACATTATTAAATTTGATGTCGTGGTTGAAGTTACTTAATATGCTTGAAGTGGAAAACATCACACATGAGTTGTATAGAACATCTGGTTCTCCGCGTGTTAGGATGAACTGCTGCTTTACATTTGGTTATCTCTCCGATTCCATCAATCATCGGGTTATCTAGAGCCTGCATAACTTTGGGTTTGCTGTCGAAGTCCCATATGCTCCCTCTGAATCCTTGTTACGGATATGGTAGATGATTACAGGGAATACTTTTTTTTTGATAAAAATGTTAAGATTTTAGACCAATTTTTCAGTTTTGACAGAAGATTACACAGATGATACTTGTAGCAGAAATTAACTAAAACTACACTAGTAGAGGGAAGGAGAAGTAACACCTAAGTTTTTGGAGATCATGAAAATAATAGGGAATACTTTTGATGATAATATTACACGTCCCGGAGTTCTAATGTAGCTGCCAGGGTGCATTACGTCGTTCACCAAACTTTTTGTTTTACCAAACTTAACATGCTGTAGACAGCATTGGCGTGCTAGTTTTTAAAATAAAAAATGGCATTAAACTAAAATTTGCATTCGGCTAATTAGTGTGATAATATATATTGTGTTAAAATCTAAAACTAATTATTGAACTTCTCGAGAACGTACGTTGTTGTTCAATATGGTAATTCATAGACACGTTTATTATAAATAATTGACGTTGCTACCGTGCTAGGAATCTTACCCTACATCAAGATTTTTTAACGGTAATTTAATGTTTTTTTTTTGGTAAAATGTTAAATTTTATACCAAGGATTTTAATTTTTTTACAGACAGTACAGAGAAGAACTGGTAGCAGAGATGCATGAAATTAAACTAACAACAGGACCTAGACAACAAGGTATAACCAAGGTGAAAGAGAAGAGACTAGGACAATAGCGAAGCACAAAGCGTTGCAGTGAAAGACCAGAGGACAAGGCAGGAGCGGAGTGAGCGACCGGTTGCCACGAGCAACTGGAGAGAAAGGCGCCCTCAAAACCTTGAAACACACAGCGCCTACAGCTTCCATCAAACCCACAAGCTACAACCCGCACAAAGAATCAAACCCGACCGGACTAGCACATTCCACAAACACCTACCGGCAGCACGAGAAGGATCCGCAACTGACGATGCCGTCGTACGGAAACAGAAGCTGAAGATTGCTGCCCCCAACTCACCGTCCCGGGACCGTTACACCCATTTAACCCGTAACTCATATAGAGTAAAAGGACCAGTTGGGTACACCTCCTCCGGAGAGATACTCACGAAACAAGCTAGACGATCGGAAGCCAAACTGAGACCTTACCAACGCCACTAGACTCGAACAAACTCCACCTCTGAAAACCTGCTACCGTGATCCAAAGGAGAAGGAGGCGACCACGATGAGCGCCACAGCGCCGAGTTCACACCATTTTGAAGAAGCAGCTAGCCACTACCCACGCCAAAGCTCACATACGCAAGTAAAGGACTAACCATTTCCGTGTGCTGCCACCGGAATCACCGCAAGGGAGGACGAAGCCTACGCTCACATGACCCCACACACATCCACCGTAGACCACCGGAGGACAACAAAACAAGAGGGAGAGCCAAAATTCCAGAGAAAAGAGGCTCTAGATCCCTGACGAGCACGCTTCCGAACCCACCCACGCGCCACAATGAGAGGAAGACAACTTGAAAAGGAAACAACCCGGCGCCTCACGCGCCGCCAAGCCCGAGAAGAAACCCTGCGAAGCAAAACCCAAACGGATAGAAGCTACGGCACAAAAACCGAGAAACCCACTCAGCCAGCAACAGACCGTCCTCAAGCCCACCGCTATCGCCTTGTAAGCTCTAGATCCAGGCCGGAAACCCCCAGATCTGAACCGAGGAGCTTCTAGGAAACTTCCCCTCCGCCGCAGAAAGAAACCAGAGAGAACAAAGATGAACAAGGGAAGAAGAGAGAAGAGAGAGAGGAAAAAAAGACACAGGGGCTCCGGCGACCGCCCTAGAGGACGCGACGGCGCCGGAAAACGAGAGAGGCGAANTAAGCTCTAGATCCAGGCCGGAAACCCCCAGATCTGAACCGAGGAGCTTCTAGGAAACTTCCCCTCCGCCGCAGAAAGAAACCAGAGAGAACAAAGATGAACAAGGGAAGAAGAGAGAAGAGAGAGAGGAAAAAAAGACACAGGGGCTCCGGCGACCGCCCTAGAGGACGCGACGGCGCCGGAAAACGAGAGAGGCGAAACAAAAACCTAGAGAGAGGTCGGAGAAAATTTAATTGGAAAAGAGAGAGAGTCCGAGTCGTTGGCCTCTATTGTGACTTAACAGTACTAAATAAAAGTGATATAAGTCGGTAATTTAATGTTAATCAAGATTTTCCGTATATCTCTCCAACTGTTAATACAAAACATGGCTAAGACATGTATGTAACAGAAAGAGAACAAACATGGTCACGAGAGAATCGATATATCGATGCTACTTGTGTCGTCTGCTCATTCTCACATGCATTCGTAAATGTGCATGGATGATGATAATGATGGTTTATCATGATAATGGTGATGGAATGGGCTTTGATTTGACAAGACAAGAGTCACGAAGAGGATCATGATATTTATATTAATTATCGTCAGTACTCAGTAGACATCTCTCCATGTCTTTCTCTTTTACCATCCGTATCGAAAGACAAGTCGAACGAAGATTTATTTAAATTGTTATACATAGGCTTCGAATGGTAAAATCATTCAAACGGTGCCGATGTAACAGGATAAATGCAGGACAAGCAGATCATACTAGAGAGATACAAATCAAGTAGACCAAATAATTTATGATGAATGACAAAATTAGTTCATAATATAGTCATATATTAAAACAATAAAATCTACACTGAAACATCAAAACAAATATTTTAGCTGTCATAGGACCGGCCGAAAGTTTGTAAAAAGTTTCATAAGATCTTTGTACGTCTTCTTTTGGAGAATTGATAGATTACATTAATATAAACTCTTGAATGAATTTACCATTGAAACATTATTTATCAGTGGATGTAAAATCTTTGACCACAGTAACTGGTTATAAAAATTATTTGATTGTACAACTTAATAAAATATTTATTTTATGTAGAAAAATTTATATCTTTTTTTTGAAAAATGTTGAGTTTTGTAGGCGATTGAACGTCATGTTTATAATTTTAAAATGACACAAATAATAATAGTGCAAACTATATAGTTTGAGTTAATTTTTGTGAATTATTTATAAATCAGATAAATATATTTAAAATTAGTATTTATAGGAAAATCATTTATTTGTGAAAAAATAGATTAACACATTTAAATGTTAGCGGATGAGATCTGTACGCAGATCTCTCGCTTGAACTGTTTGTAGAAGAAAAAAAGGATAAATGTTAAAATAGTGCAGGAGAACAGCATGAGCGAGAAATCCCAATTTATTCTCTCATTCTATTCATAACCATAATGCTTGTATTGGCATTTGCACGACATAAGCAGTCTTTTTTATCTATGAAAGTATTGCTTTTTTGTTTTGGTTTTGGTTTTGTTTGAAAGTATTAATTTGCATCGCAGTATAGGTCAATTGCATCAATGAACTATTTTTTCCAAAAGAAGATATTAGTTTGCATTGCAGTATAAGTCAATTGCATCAATGTTTAACATTCTGTCAAAAAAATTTGCATCAATGTCTAACTATGTTTTCAAAAGAAATTATTTCATATACATCCAAGTATCATGGTATCAGTTAGTAATTATGAAAAAAAATCTAAACTGATACATGTATCTGGACAATATATAACTCACTATATTACCTTGATCAGCTCACATCATTTATGGATTTTATACTTTCATATTTTTATTGTTAATAATTGATAAATAGTATCCTACTATA